TATTTGATCGTCTCCATGGCGCTTAACATTAAAAAAAAAATCGAAGTAGTTACAGGAAAAGTGGTTTTTCGCGTTCCAGGTGACTTTTATTTTTTCTCTCTTGCTCCTCTCTTTCAAGAGAGTAATTTTGTTATTTGACAGTTTTACAGGTTTTTATACGAAGTTATCTGGAACGCAACTAATATTTAATTTATTTTATCAATTTAACTGAGTTAAAATTTTCAACTATTTCCAACAGTTATCTTTTTGAAATCTATTTTTTTGATACCCACATTGCAATATTTCATTTATTTTATCAATTTAACTGGGATTAAATATTTAATAACAGTCATATTTCTTAAACCTCTTTGATTTGATACCTATATAATAAGTTATTTATTTTATCAATTAAATTGAGTTAAATTTCCAAACAGCTGGCAACCCTGCTTAAACATATTTTCGGCTGTAAGCCTTCTTAAAACTCTAAAGCTTGATACCCATACTGCAATACTTCATTTATTTTATCAATTTAACTCAACTAAAATTTTCAAATAGGTGGCAACCCTCCTCAAAAGTATTTCCAACCTTTTCTAGTCCTGTTTAATTTGATACCAATATTGTATGTAATAGGTCCTTCATTTTATCTTTATATTGAGTTAAATTTTCAAACAGACGGCAACCCTCCTCAAACATATTTTCGGCTGTAAGCCTTCTTAAGACTCTTTAGTTTGACACACACAATTAACTGAGTTAGATTTTAAAACAGGTGGTAACCCTCCTCAAACATATTTTCTGTTGTACGCCTTCTTGAAACTCTTTAGTTTGACACCCACATGACAATATTTAATTTATTTTATAAATTTAATTGAATTAAAATTTTCAAATAGGTAGCAACCCTCCCCAAAAATATTTCCAGCAGTTATCTTTCTAGTTTCATAGCCATATTGTAATAATTCATTTATTTTATCAAAATAATTGGGTCTAAAAATTTTCAAACAGGTTGCAACTCTCCAAATTTTTGTGATATAAATGATCCTGGTATCATACCTAATGTGACCAACAATTTCATAGCTCAAAGAAGTACAGCGTAGGTTGGGTTAAGTAACGCCGCGAGCCGATTACGAAATTTCGAACGCGGATAATTTCGATCCCTGAGCCTCGCGAAGTTTGGACTGTCTAAAAGAAAGTGTGGATATGATTCCACTTCAGTCGAAATTCCTAGTCTCACCGCATCAATACCAATCGCACAATGGCCTGTCAGAACCTTCATCACTAGCCCTTGAGAGGTAACGTGCTTTAAAATGCCCTATAAAATCATTTGCTGCAGCAGACAAATGTCTGGTTTCCTGAGCTAATGAATTAAATTGGGCGAGAGACCTCACCTTTTACCGATAGCTCCCCTACAGCAATACAAGGCAACCGACACCTTTCTTACCCTTTCCCTAATGTAGGGCTTCCACGACAGCCGCCGTTTATCGCCCACTTAGTTACCTGGTTCATGTAACCTTAAGCCAGATCAAAAAGGGTGTATGGAAATCGTCCCTTAACAAAAAGTTCCACATAATCTACATAGGCGATCACCCGACAGCCCACTTTTTCCAGTTCCTATAGAAGGTCGTTTACAACTCCAATTCAGAGCAGGGGAGAGAGAACACTACCTTGTGGAGTGCTCCTATTTACTCTGCACTGAGTGCAGACGCCCCCCCCCCACTCCGCCGCGATAGTTCTGCGACGATGTACGCTACAGATAAGCCTTATTAGGTTGGTTTCAACCCCATATTATGAATTATCTTGACTATTGCCTCTGGAGTGACATTGTTGAAGGCCCTCTCGATATCGAAGAAGGCCCTACTGCATAATTTTAATGCGTGAAGGCTTCCCCTGACTACTTTACCAATGGGTGCAGGGCGGTATTTCTCGTAATAAGCATATTGAGCTCTTGAAAGACAGTCACGAAGAATCGCACTTTTTATATACAGGTCTATCAGTCTCTCTAGCGTTTTTAGCAAAAGCGTTTTCAGCAAACACGAAGATACTGATAGGCCTAAAATCCCTTGGGGAAACATGAGAGCCTTTCCGGCCTTCGGGAAGAACGCAACACTGACTATCCTCCAAGCCTTTGGATGTACCCGATTCTCACGCAGTTCGTATAAATAGGATCCAACCAATTGCAAGACACCTTCAGAGCCCTTTGCAGCTGCGCAGGTATGATGCCATCGGTCCCCGGCGACTTTAATGGTTTGAACGAATTTATCGCCCAGGCCTTGTGATGATCGTCCAGAAGATCGGAGAAGTACAGGACCTGCGGAAAATATATTAAGGAACCATCATAAAATTAGGACTATTTTGGGATTTTTAACTTTTTGATATTTTCTTCCCCAACTTTGACTATCTCTGGTGAAAAAAATGTACTGAGCTATAACTCTAGCCTACATAAAAAAAATTGCTCATTTAATACAGATTTCAGAAGGGTGCCACTCTTACTGTTGCGAATAGAAAGAAAAGTTATAGTCGCTTTTGTGGACAAAGGACTGAGACACGCTAGAATGTATTTAATAGATTTAAATTCAAGTTGCTCTTGTTACCGACCAATTACATGCTAAATAGTACAAAGGTACATTATTACCTGCTCCTGACATTATTTTACGTTACTTACCGGAATTAGTGAAAGTGGATTTTGTGAAATTAGACCCTTCGAGCATTGTGTTATTAATACTATGACAGAGAACACGCAGTTTACGTCCCATGAATATGCGGATATTCAGCTAATTTACGGTGAAGCTTGCTATAATGCCAGAGCTGCTCAAAGACTCTATGCAGAGCGATACCCAAATCGTCGGCATCCGGGTCGTGAATTATTCCCCCGCACCCATAGAGAAATATCTGAAGGTAAGTAATTTTTACACCTTTCTTGTTTGAAGCCATTCTTCGTTTAACTATCATTTTTAACTTTTTTAAGGTCGCATACCTGGAAGGTGTGGCGGCGAGACAGGACGTCCTGCAACGGTAGATGTTAAAGTTGTGTTAGAGGAAGTGGAACTAGGTCCATCGACTTCAGGAGAATGATGGAAAGACGGACGGGAATACCAAAAACTACAGTTCACAAAGCTTTAAAATGCCATCCCTACCACATTCAACGTGTTCAGGCTCTACAAGAGAGAGATACCTGTCGAGGGTTAGATTTTGCCGTGAAATGTTGGGAATGCATGAATCAGACCCCAACTTGTCTAATAAAATAATTTGGAGTGATGAATCATCATGCAAACGTGATGGTTATTTTAATTTACATATCCTTCACAGTTGGCAGATAGACAATCCTCACGAAATGAGAGAAGATCGTTCGCAGTACCGGTACAAAATAAATTTATGGTGCGGTATTTTTAATTGTCAGATATTGGGACCTGTGGAACTGCCGCCAACGCTCAACTCTCACAGTTATTTAGAGTTCCTTCAGGAACGGCTTCCAAATCTTTTGGAAGATGTACCCTTAAACCTGCGGCGAAGACTATGGCTGCAAAATGACGGGTGCCCTGCTCACTACGGGCGTGAAGTAAGAGCTCATTTAGACGAAACTTATCCTCGCCGATGGATTGGACGATACGGGCCAATCACGTGGCCCGCTCGATCGCCAGACCTGAAGCCATTAGATTTTTTCTACTGGGGCTGTCTTAAGGACAAAATTTATTCAAAAACAATTCAAAACGAAGAGCATTTGCGGGAACAAATAAATGGAGCTGCTGCTGAGATAGCCCAATTGAGTTTAAGATCTCTAAAAGCGTTTTTTCCTAAAAGGTGCCGAGCTTGTATTAGAGTAGAAGGTCGCCAATTTGAGCATATTTTATCAATAAATAAAAAAATTTTTCTTCAAACAACTCATGTATATCTTATTTCACGTGAACCCATCCTTCACACAAAATATTGATAGATATAGCCCTTGTTATAGACTCTAGTCCGAATTCCGGTAAGTAACATAAAATAATGTCAGAAGCAAGTAATTATGTACCTTTGTACTATTTAGCATGTCATTTGACGGTAACAAGAGCAAATTCAATATAAATCTATTAAATACATTCTAGCGTGTCTCAGTCCTTTACCCACAAAAGCGGCTATAACTTTTTTTTCTAATCAAAACAGTAAGTGTGGCACCTTTCTGAAATCTTTATTAAATGAGCAATTTTTTATGTACCTAATGTAAAGTTATAGCTCAGTACATTTTTTTTCACCCGAGATAGTCAAAGTTGGGGAAGAAAATATCAAAAAGTAAAAAATCCAGAAATAGTCCTAATTTAATGATGGTTCCTTAATATATTTTAACTACATTGCATTTGAGTATGGAGAGGCAACTATCTGGAAGTATTTTACATAAAAAATTTACTAAGTATTGCCCGGTTTGTAGATGCAGTTAAAGAAAATACATGAAAAGGCACGATTTTTTTTAAATTCAAAAAAATTTAAATATTTCAAAAACGGTGACACTTTTACCTGAAATTTTTTTGTTTATCAGAGAGCTCACCCCCCCACCTACCTTCCCCTAAAATTTGGCAGGTTACTTCTGGGACACCCTGTATAGACTGGTTATGTTTAACAAACGACATATAAAACCAAGTTTCAAACTTTGCACCAAACTTCAATATTCACAATCGACTCCACAATACAATATGCTTAGCTACTAGATCAGCAAACAAAAATTTAATAGTTAATTTGAAGTTTGTGGTACGCCGTTTTCGGTTTAAAAGCAAAAAAACGATTAACACCTAAATTAAAAAAAGGCTGAAAAAGATTATTAACCTAATTTAAAAAAATCGGCTTTTGGAAACACCGATCTTATTTGAACATCCCTATCATAGAGTATCTGTACGAATCTTCATTAAGAACGTTTTAAATGAAGGCTCTCTACGAACTTGGAATTTACGTTCGTCGCTATTCGGATTCAGTAACAGCAATTTCGTAGATTTCACGAAAATCGAACCTACGATGGATACTGTGATAGCCCTGACTAACAATAAACAGAAAATGACGCATTGATTTTTGTATGAGAATTTCCAAGTTTTTATTTGTATAACTGATAAACACCTCCAGAATATATTAATTTATGCTCGCGCACTTTTCGTTGAAGGAAATTTTTTAGTTCATCCTGGGTAAATTCTATCCCAACCCCATGTGATGCAAACAATTTAAGCATCTGATGGATACGATCAAGCGGCAATGAGTCCAAATTTGTCAGCATTCCTACAATGTATGACCAAAATACCTGTAAAAATTTAAAAAGTATTATTTGTGGTATGAATTGAAAGGAACGAACATTTCTTTTATAAATTTAAGTCAAACTAGAGTAGATACATACTAATTATTAAAGTCAGTTGTAATAACTCTAGATTTATTTACATAGGCAAAAGAAGACATGCATTTTTAAAGGGAATGACGAAGAGCCCCCTTTATTAGAAGTTGCTCTTTATATGCTTAGGGCCGTTGTCTGAAGTAACCTTCAACTTTAAAGCTCACTTTATATTTAAAGGTTGGATTAAAAATAAAGCTATGTCTAAAGTTAAGCATTTCTATTATCGGTGTTTGACGTATGTGTGTTTCTTGGTTGTAAACCAATTTAATACCGATAATAAAATGCTTTACTTTAGACACAATCATAAATTTTAATGCAACCTTTAAAAATATAAAGTGAGCTTTAAAGTTACAGGTTACTTGAGAAAACGGTCCTTAGAATATGATCTCGCAGTTAAATATTCCGTTTAAAACGTTTAAAATGTTTCCGTTTGCAATAAAAAAAATGTTATTTAAAAGAGTTTAAGTACGCATTTGATGACGTACATATGTATATTAAGCTATCAGACCTTGGTCACGACGCACAACTCTAACCTATCGGATATTTAGTTGATAATTAGTTACCCAACCAGTAATTGCAACAAAATTAGCCTTATAAAAACTGAAACAATTAGCTGGCAATTGTAGCTAATTGGCAGCAAATTGTCGTAAAATTGCTCATGCAACCCTGTGAAGTGTGTTTAAAGAGAAGAGCAGAAACGAAATGTCAGAAAAATTAAATTATCCTTCTTATTTTTAATAAAAAAGGGAATCTGCAATCAAAACTTAAGTATATTAACTGGAAATGTTTAATATTTCTATTATATGTATATACACCAATAAAATTTTATTAAAATCTCTCCATTTTATTCAGACCAAAGCAAATTGAACAAGTAATAGCCCCGCAAAATTTTGGACAAACAAAATAAAAACAGTCTCAGCCAACAACAACAACAACAGTCAACACCAAACCCAGTGACGCAATTCAAAGCTTAATTGCCTCTGCTAATTGGCCTGCTTGCTGGTAAATGCGCACTTCCACTCCGCTGCGCCTGGGTTCAAGCCCTGGTCAAAGCAACATCGAAAAAATATAGAAAAAAGGTTTTTTCTTAACAACGGCCGTCCCTCGGCAGCCAATGGCAAACCTCCGAGTGTATTTCTGCTTTGAAAAAACAGCTTCTAATAAAAATACAATCGCCGTTCGGAGTCGGCGTAAAACTGTAGGTCCCCCGCTTTGTGGGACAACATCAAGGCGCACGCCACAAAACGGAGGGGAAACTCGGTCAAATACTAACATATGAGTAAGCGCCTATCTGTTGTTATTAATTGGTCTGCTTGAACATACTCCTACCGATTTAGTTGCTCATCATCAGGGCCGAAACAAATAAGCAAGAAGAAAGCTGTTTTAAGAGCTTAGATAAGCACTAAAACATTGATAAATATGCTTGCAAATATGCTCGAAGAACCACATGTTGTGTTTTTTATTAAAAATAAAATTACGCAGAGATAAGAATCATTAATTTCTTTACAAAACTGAATTAAGTTTTTTGAAATACTCCTTATTCTGCATCTAAGATGGTTTACAATTTTTTCGTTTTATCTTACCGTTTGTAAACATTTCTTTAGTTCGACGAAAACCATCGGAATCTTCATTGCTGGAACTTGGGAAATAGTCGAGAATCGAAGGATATCTGTAGCAATCCTTTTTGAAGTTTAAAGCGTCGTACGCATATATTTATCAATAGTTATCAAAACTCCATATAAAAGGTTTGAGAAATACTAAAAAAAAAATTATTGAGCCAAATTTCTTAAACAGTGCGGAGTTCTTAAGAAGTTGGCTACGCTTTCTACTACGGATATTTAAAGTTTTTTGTGATCAAAGAGCACAAGGTAACCTATGTTTTCAACAGAAATATATGCCCGTTCCAACATTTAGTGAAGAAAGGGTGAGATTGCATTCCATGGGCTCGAAAACTTATGCACTAAAAAATCGAAAATATGCGCATATAATATGCACTCAATATTAAAAAATATGCGCCATAAACAAGTAAAATATGCAATTAAAATAAATAACACATGTATTTTAACAAGAAAATAACGAAAACAAATCACTTAAAAACATAATACATATTTATGTATAAAATTAGTTTATAATCAAGCAGCCAGATAAAATTTTGTGTAAATAGAAACATTGAGGGTTGGAGAAAGTTTGCCATTTTGATTCCACAACTCGTGCAACCTGCAGCCATTTACTGGCTTTAATGAGTTTCAGTACGTCATACAGAGAGAGGCAACTTCACTCTAAAACATTCTGCAGGAATGGCTTGCAGAGTATCTCTAGAGATGCTAGCATCATCCTTGCAAGAGCTGGACACTCGCACAGGAAGTGTTCGACTGTCTCTTTTGAGCCAGAGTCATCCCAACTGCGACACCAATGGACCAGTGTCCTGAGCACACTGCAGTAAGTTAGTAAGTATCTTCGTTGTTCATTCGTTTGGTCTAAGTGGGTTGTAGGATGCCCAGAACTGCCGGGTAATCCTGTATGATCCTTTACGGTTCCACCTCTGCTTAGCCTTCGAGTGATACATTTCGGTAATTTTTGCTTTTATCTCCCTGAGCGAAGCGCCTATGTCCACCGCGTGGGACACATTCAGTACGGAGCCGCACCTTGCTAATTCATCCGCTGCCATGTTGATCAGAAATATAGGCCAGATCTCACCTGCAGTCTTCCACTAGTTGAGATCTAATATAGGTAGGAGAGAAACTTCAAAATGCATCTTGTGGTTCAATGTTACTTCAACTATAGAGATTAATGTTTAGTGAGCAAAAAACTCGAGAGGGGGAAATAGTCAAAGATTCAAAGTAGAAATTTTTTTCTTTTATGAAACTAGTTCATAGTTTATCTCTTTTTACTTGTAAAATAAACATTTCTAAAATAAATGTATTTTATGATTATTTTTCGTTTTTTTTAGTGCGTTTTTTGCCTTTTCTGCGATTTCTAGTGCCTTTTCCTGCCTATTTCGCTACTTTATTTTGATTTTTCCAGCCTATTTCGTTATTTTATTTTTCCTTTTTTATAGGTTTCTTGGTCCTAAATATCCGTTCCCTGTTTATAACTATGAAAGCAAAAAACTTTTGTGGGAGTCTCCTTTCCATATCCCTCTCAGATATAAAACCGATAGGATACCACTTTTCGCAACTATGGCTTTTTTCATATTTTCACCGATATCTTAGAAACCAGGCCTGACCCAAAGAAACCATTAAGAATCAGGATAAAATTCTATGTCAGAAAAGTTGTATTTGATTCTTGGTGATTTTTTTGTCGAGTAGTGTAATTATTATTTTTTTTATATTATGTGTTTTTATAAGCGTGAAACACAAATGAATAGCCGGTGTTTGGTGTCAAATTCGGACAAACTAGAGCTAGTAATCTGATTTATTCCGAATTGGACTAACGATTAATAATTTAAATTAATTAATCGTAATCACAACCGATGATTAACGATAAAAAAAAAAAATATCACTGACCGTACAGACTAAGATTTTGCCAACACTGTTTCACAGTTACACAGCTCTGATATTTCTTATGAGAGAAATGTGATTCAACCACACGATAAACGATAAAAATACATTTGGAAATATATATATTTTTTAGTTACAAACCTGAAGTTCTTCTTCTCGCTGATCACTTGCGGAGGCCATAGCTGATTCAACATCTTCGTCACCAACCAGAACATGGCTTAGTTGTTTAGGGTCGAATTGCGATTTTTTCCCGTCGTCTTCTAAAAGTCTGAATATTCCCGGTCGTATTTCGTCTACTATCCCATGTGATATCCAAAACCCAATTCTCCGCCGCAATATTGTAGATGGAACTTTCGTAATCTGACTTAGATCCTCCAACGTCCATTCATCTATATAAAGTTGAATAAATAATTTGTATTCTATCATGTACAAATCTAAAAATTATGATAACCAATTATAAGTACATATTAATAAATCATTATCCAAAACTTGAAAAGAGAGTTAGCGCCACTGTATATTTTGGTGACGTGCAATAATGTCAATTTAATTAATGTCAGTGACATTAATACACAGGCCAAAAGTGAAATAATGCCAATGACATTAACACACGTGCGAACACGGACCGCCGCACATTGGGCAAAAAAGGTTGCTATGGACAAATCAATTTTGAGAGCCCAAATATGAACCGATTTCATGTTTCTTTTTAAATAAAAGATAATTAAATTTCACGTCAATCTATCCATGGCGATTTTTTAAAAAAGCTCTGGTTTTTAATTTATTTATGTTGGAAAATGAAAGAAAAAAATTTTTACGTTTGAATGCTTCTTTGGAAAATACTTGAAATTAATTTCAAATGTCTGCAATTACTTAAAAAATATATTCGTAAACATTTTTCCATAGGATACATTTACTTAAAAAATGTATTTCATTTGTTATCTATAGTAAAATATATTTTGAAAGCCGTTTTTTTCTGTTTGGAAAACTCGAGAACAGCTATAGCGATATTTTTTTAAATTTTGGACATCGACTCCAGACTATCCAAGGATGATAATAGATGAAAAGCAATTTCGATATATCAAGGGGCGTGGCACCTCCCATACAAACTGAAGTTTTCACACATCACATCTTTAGAAGTATTCATCGTAGAGTGCTGCAACTTTCTACAGAGATATAAATATAATAGGCGTGTTTTTTTACACGCATACGTTTCTGCGCTTAGAATTTGTATGGAGCAGTAAGCGACAAACTTTTTGTGCGCTTATGAATTGTTGTCGATTAAATAAAAATTACTTGTTTTCAAATGGAAATTGTCGGTGCTTGTTTTTTTACACGTTAAGCGTAGATGTATATGCTTGTAAAAAAAACACGGCGAATATCAACGCCGAACTCATGGAAAAAATGGGAGTTATTGAAAAAGTGGGCGTGGCACCTCCCATACAAACTGAATTTCTCACAACACATACACATTCTAATGTGAGAAGTTCAGTTTGTATGCGAGGTGCGACGCCCCCTTTCTCAACAACTCCCATTTTTCCCGTGATTTGGGGATCTAATGGGGGCGTGAAGTGAATCTATAACCTTTCCTTCACAAACGACAACCTAACCCACTGCCCGTCAAGGCTTGGTGGTCCCTGTTATCGCTAACGAGGCTCTGTCGACCGGTGCGAGGCGGTATATCCTCGCTCACGGCTGAGCTACCGTAGCGTGGAATGGACCCGGACTGTACGTGACGTGCATCGACGAATGCTCAGGACGACAAGAACTGACCCATATTGGGCGGCAGGACAATCTTCACCTGGCAGTAGGTATAAAATGGAAGTTGTTCCACCCTCAGAGATGCCATCCCGTACGACAGTGCGAGTGTGGATCCCGCCCCCCTCGTGGAGGACGAGACCTCGCTGGCACTTATAAAATGTCAAAATGTGGATGTCATCTCTGATGACTGGACGATTGTCCGAGGCCGCGCTCGCGACAAAGATAACGGCAAGGACCTGTGGATCAAGATCGATTCACAATCCCTGCAGATCTTGCGTCGCAAAGCCGGTCAGGTAAGATATGGCATTGGTCCCCTTAGGGAGATCATCCCCGACGCGGAAGGTGAATCCGAAAAGCATCGGAGGATCTGCTGCTCTTCATGGGTGAGGAAGATGTAGACGTGGCCCTAATTCAAGAACCCTGGCTAGTGGCGGGGAGGGGCACAGGTCTATCCACTATCCGTTTTGAGCCTCTCACCCCACATACTGAAGGTAAAATTAGAAGCTGTATTCTAGCTAAGAAAAGCACTAATATTCTCTTTCTTCCCCAATTCAGCGATGCTCAATAATTGAAAGCCAAACCAAACAAAATGTCACGTTACAACCAGGGTAGGCAAAAACTCGGAGTTCGAGCGAGCGAGCGAGCAAACTCCTACTCAATGCCTCGCAGGCAACGAGGCGCTCGCAGTTCGTACTCTTAGCAGCAATGAGGCGAGGCACGAGAAGTTTGGCTTGCTCGGCAAACGAGCGAGCGCCGCTTGTTTGCACGCCCTCCTATTAAACGAGTGAGGCTGCAGTGTGTTGCCTCGCTCGCAGTGCCGAGGCGATTAGCTGTCTGGATACACGCTCGGCTAGGTAAGACGCAAGGTTCATAGAATAGAAGGTTACGACATGGTGCTGTCAAAAATTTGTTTTCCTCCAATGACGTAGTTGCGAAGTGAGTTCTGATTGGCTGAAATATTTTACGAAGAAGGAGCGTACACAAAACGCAAAAATATAGTTGCCGTATAGCATATTTTAGGAGTCCTAATCAAATGGGCATTTTCGATATAAAATCGTGGCAAAGCTTATTATAACAACATAAAATGTTATAACTTCACGTGAAACTGGATTAACATAATAATATTCGTACTATAGTAACAAATCAAATATAAATCGAATGCTTACTGAAATTTGCTGGTGATTTTATTTTTGAAAGTGGGCAGAATGCACTCGCGCGTTTTTAAATAAAAAACGTTCTTATTCTACCCCCCTTTTTTCCCCCCTTTTTCTAGAATTCGCGTCCGCATACTAAAATTTTCCCGAATTCTCCTTTCTGTGTTGCCGAAGAAGAGGGACTGAACATCTTTTGCAGAGAACACTTTTCGCTACCGAAATTGCAGTTCATCTTTGGACACAGGATAAAACGTAAAATTACCTTTTCAGCCTGATTTTTGCAATCAAAAACAGCGCACTTACATTTTTAATAATTTAAATAAACTCAAAGACGCAGAAAAATGCACAAACTTCAACACAAATTGTCAAACGGTAAATATCAGGGTTAGACATATTTGAAATAAAACGTGATGTATTTTTGACTAAAATAGTGTATTTTTATAAGATAATTTTTTAGGAATCTGGCAACTCCAAAAATTGACCCGTCCACGTCATCAAGATGGTGGCCATGGCTGATGTCGTAACCTGTATTCTATGAACCTTGGGTAAGACGAGTGAGCGACGAGCGAGCGCTCCGTGTGTACTATACAACATCTGCCTTTTAGTGCATAAAAATGTGTGAATGTATGTCAAAAGATTACCGAGTAGAAATCGGTTGCAAGCATTCATGAAGCATGCATGCTGTATGAGTGAGAAAGTGTAAGCAATTCATGAGCGGCCATGAATTTCCCGCAAATAAAGTCAAATCAGGTGAACTGTAAGCGAACGTACTTTGTTGATATTTTAAGTACATTTCTCTATAAATTTGACTACTATACATCATAACAAAATGCTTGTAATATTTTCAGTCTTGTGCAAAAATTTTAGCGAACGGGCTAAACTAATAGGACTTTTATATGATATTGATTTGCATATGTAAATACTTCCGTTTTGTTTGTACTCGTATGTGCCATATATTAAAATGTATCCGAAAAGTAGAATTTACATATGGAAATATATGTATATCGTGTTAGAATGCTACTGTTCCATTAATGCAGCATTAGTACTTTTGCAAGTACTAATTATGTGTATTTTTGTATGCCTGTATACTAGTGGCTTTGCATGTTTAAACATTAATACAGCCATATACAGCAGAAGTACAAGTGTATGGTTACCCTGGATTTGCCCAGAATTGTTTTTCTTTCGGAATTTCTTAGCACTTTTAAACAAACTTTCACCCTGATTCCTACAATCTTTATGAAGAGTCGACCACTTATTTGCATACACGCGATTAATATGTTACGAAAAAATGAACTTTCAAAACAACCAGTCCATTTACAGTTATTTTTTATATTTTTCTTCAAATAGTGCAACGCCTACTGTTTGCGTAACCATATGGTTACACTGGGCAGATTCGGGTTATAGTACGCATACGCTCTGAGAAACCACACATGTTAAAGGAAATGAAAGTACATGGGTTTCACCCCATGTCTTTATACAAATATGAAAAATACTTTATGTAAAGATGTTATGCTCTCAGCTCTATTTTTACTATAGACGTGATAGCAGCATACGGTAGGCAGCTGTATAGCTTGGGTGTTATGGAGTGAAATGCAATAATAATTTTTTGGCACTGCAGGTGTTTTAATTTAGGTTAAAATAAATCCAATAGATTATATAATAGAAGAAATACTATCTAATATCTTATGAATAATAACTCTAATATGATTTCACAGCATTTTTTTAATACTTCAAAGTATCTATTAACATAAATGCATTTTCCAATTAAATTATAATACATTTTATTTTCGACCAAGTTTCGGGTTTTACTTTAAGGCATTCTTGTTTATTGTCATTACAAAAGCTAAGTGAACTGGAAACTGATAAGCACCTACCATTGATATGTTTGCATACCAAATTTCAATTGTATGTGACTTATGGTTCCGAAGTTATGGCTGATTAAAAATTCTACGACTGTGAGATATGCCACGTCCCCTCCTACAAAGTCATTTATATGTACCTTACTATAAGCATCTACCATAGATTTGTCTGCATACCAAATTTCAAGTTCATGTGACTTATGGTTCCGAAGTTATGGCTGATTAAAAATTTGCAGGCCTATGGGAGGTGCCACGCCCCCTCGCAAAATTCACACCATATTTGCAAACAAAACCATACCTATAACCTTTCCGGGGTAAAAAGAAATAAGTGTGCAAAGTTTCGTCCGAATCCGTGTAGTGGTTCAAAAGTTATAAGGTAATAAACAAACAGACATTCACATTTATATAGATAGATTATTGTAATAGGCGAAGACTGCGATTCCGCACATGTTTTTATTAGTAACGGAGATATGCCGTCGTTGACCAATTTTGTTGACGTTTTGAGCAATTTTATACAGTTTATAACATCCGCAATAGATACGTTTAAATATCCAAAGTCAGTGGGAGCAGCAATCCCTTCAAGAAGAACTTCACTAATAGCGGACTCATTAGGATCAAAAT